TAAAATGGAAAAGCAACACAATGTGATGAGTCCTCAGGTATAGGCAAATTTATTTGCTATTACGAATAGAGAGTGAGAGAGAGGCAGAGGAGGAGGGGAGCTGGAGCAGCTGTTCGAGTTGCCGTGAAATTTATTTGGCCTGTAATGTGATTCAATTGGTTGTCACCCGGATAATGCAGGCGTATCGCTTACCCCAGTCCGAAATAAACGGGTTGTGCTTAAAACGCTTGATGTGCCAATTTTCATAGTTGACTCTCACAATACACACACCCCGTAGACGATACGCTTGATTTAGTGTTTTATTGTTTATTGCCTCGAGTTTCCGACTGTTGGGACTCGAATCTTCAACTGGAGCTCAAGTAGCAAAGACAACTAGAAGGTGTTGTTGCTGTCCAACAGAAGTTTTTGCATTTGCTGCACTTTATGCGACTGCTGCTCATTTTTATTATTTCTTTTTATTATTCGCTGCAGCCATGACAAAGTTTCCATGAAGCCAACTTTTGCACTTTACTTAGTTGACGGGCTGCTCTGACGGCTGCCAAAGTTTTGCCAGTAATTCCACAACAATAAAATAAATACAATAAGAAGAAAAAAAAAACACAGAAACGGGCGCAAATAATAAAGCAGCTTTACCTTAAATGATTCAATTTGCCACACCCCCAACACACACACACACACACACACTTGGCCAAAACCCCAATTGAATTAGCGATAATTGAATTTTGCGCTGTCGCAAACGATAAACATCAGCAGCAACTCGGCCAAAAAACTCAGTAGCCAACTCAAAATAATTCAATAAAGCACAATAAATTAAATATGTTTAATATGTAAAAGAAATAAATAAGAAAAGCACAACTTGTGGCAGAATTTTCACGTGTTACATGACAAATGAAAAATTCAACAATTGTGTTCAAAATTATAAACACATTTTTTGGAAGTTTCAATGTGCGAGTCCTGCCAGATAATTAATTTAATCAAAAGTATATTCTTATCTCATTATTTTAAGAAGCATTTATCATGATAGAAATTTGTGACCAATAATTGATCCATTTTCTTCAACTTAAAGAAATGAATATTACTTTAAGAATTAATTTCGAATTGGAACCTTTTTTAAATATATATTTTGAAGGCTTCATGAGGACATCCCGCCTGAAAATTCATTAAATCAAAGGCGATTTCACAAATTTCTCATTCACAAGCTATGAGTCTTATTGTTTAAAGAAACATTTATGATGTAAAAAAAATGTAAGCAAATAGTTGATCAAAATTTTGTAAATTAAAGAACTGCACTTTTTTGATCAGACTCTTGATTGAACATTTTTTTGGTTTGAATCTTAAAAAACATTATTTATATCAACACATTTTAATAAATTGTTGAATATAATTTGGTATTTCAAAGAATTGTATATATTGTAGGAAAGAAAGTCTTCATACAATGTTGTTGCCTAAGAGCATGTCAAGCTATATATATCCATATTTTTTAAATATTTGACTGGCAGACTTCAGCTTAAGGCAAACAACAATCAAATGGCAAAGGAAGAAGAGCTTTTGTATACATCCAGGCACTAACTAACTGACTGTCTGACTCTCTGACGTTCTGACTGTCCGATTGTCTGACTGTCGGACTGTGTGTCTATTTTGCATTTTTATAGGGCACTGTTGCAATCGAGTCTGAGAGGTATTTAATTGAACAAGTGAGCACTTTATTAAAATGTCACTCAACGTGTTTAGTTGGGCGTGCGAAGAAGGGCAGGGTTATGCTGGCGACGTGGCCTGTGCAAATTTCATTATTGTTGTGTCAGGCATTTGACAGCCGGTTTCACCTACATTTAACGGTAACTGAGCTGCAGTTCAGCTCACCTATGCATATTTAATAATATTTTTGGTGCAGCCGAGCAAAATTTGCAACTAATCCGCAGGCAGACGGCAGCCGGCCGGCAAAAACAACCCAATAAAACAGCAGCAAAAATAGTTAGCTAGAAACTAGAGAGAGAGAGAGAGAGAGACGAGGAGAGTGAGAGAAAGAGAACTCGTATATCATTTGGGGTCCCGGACAACAATGGGTTCGGATTCGGCTTGGCTAACAAGAAACACAACAGCCAAACACACTGGCAAAAAAAGTTTGAAATGAAAAAGCAGTCAGCATATGAAATGAGTTTATTACTCAAAATGTTCCAACACACACATGGACACAAACACGCACACAACTAGGAAACTGCGACTCGCTTTAAGTGGCATGCAGCGAGGGTACAGGGAACGGATGACGTCCTAGCTGGTTGCCTCGTGGGTTGTCGGTTGAATAGAGTATGATATGGTATGATATGGTGAGGTTGGGCTGGGTTGGTAGCCAGGTTGGTTTTAAGATTGGTTGACTAGTTGGTTGCGCCGCCTGCTGCGTGCCTCTTGACGGCATGCGTCCAAATAGTTCCATTTGTTAATAAAATATTTAAAATGAAGCAAATTGTGCGCTGCTTAATCAAAGCGCATGTAAGCCTTTGTGTGCGTGTGTGTGCGTGTGTTATAATAATTCGCAAAATGGCGGAAACATTTATGCAACGTCACCGTCAAACTGGCATGAAAAGGAAATGCGCCAAAATAGGACAGTGTTAATTGAGCGCGGCGAGACAACAGCAACAACAGCAACAACAACAACAACAACAAGGACAACAAGGATGACAAGGATAACGAGCACAACAGCCAGGACGAATCGGATGTGTTTTTGCTCGGGCTGCGGAAATTGGTTTATAGATCTATCGCCTAGATACGTATTTAGCCGCATCCAAATTGTAAATTGAAGATGCGCACGTGCATCGCATATGCAAATTGTTTGTCGTCCTTTCCTGAGTACCTGAAATTGCTTTTACTTTGCCGCCCCTCAAACCCAAAACGAAGACCCACCCAACAGCTGGACGAGGGTTCACTTTCAAGTTGAACAAGTGTCGACAGATATTTAAAATATTTCACAAAACAATCGACGCTTTACTCTTGGTGAACAGTGGCATTAAATATGGCATTATTAACTAAAGCTGACTGATAAATTAATTGGAATTGAATGTACACCTTTTACACGGCAGATTTGTTTCAGAAAAGCTCATGTAAAAAAGACCATGATCGCATGCAAAAATAGGTGTTAGGTTCCCTATCTCTAAAACCTATTAAAATTAGTGAAAACCAGATTGTTTAAGAACATCTTAATTAAATTAAATCACGTATATAGCGTGTTTCATACTTGTTAAAGAAAAAAGGATATGCTTAAAAGTAATGAAAAGTAAATGTCAGACTAGTTTAGGAACAAAAAAATTATGCCAAATAATCTGCAGAAGAAACTGAACTGCCCTCGCTGGCGGCATATTTAAAATATTTAGCAGAAAATGATGCAACCATACCCCAATAAAAAAATATAAATATCTTTATAAATATACACCTATTATTTTTCAGAAGCAACTGAAGTGCCCTCGCTGCCATCAAGCACATTAGCTTTAGCCTTTAGCCTTTAGTTTTAGTTTCAGCATTTTTTCGCAGCAATTTCTTCCAGTTGGTCGGCCGGCACATAAAAACGTTTGGGGCCTGTATTAAGAGAGAGAAAGAGAGTTGGGCGTGGCCATTTGGCTGATGTGGCAGGTCGTTGGCTCCATTAGCTGCAAGCTCCAAGCTCCAAGCTGCGAGCTGCAAGCGGCTCAAGTGCAAAATCGAATTTACTCGTTGCCAACGGCATTTCGTCTTAGCAGCCAAGTGAAGTAAGTACCTCAGCCATCTCGACCATCGACTGTCGACCGCCTGTCAGTGGCACTTTCTTTCCACCCCCCCCTCCTCCCTCTCTCCCTCTACCTTTTATCCTTAAACGCAGCGACGATGCCGATAAGCGCTTGCAACATGCGTGCCAAACACACGTGAGCTCCCAAATGTTGGCAAACAAAGAAAAAAGAAGGTGTCCCAAAATAAAAAAACCAGACAAGAATAGAACGGGCAAGGGTTGGGGGATATGTGTGTGCGAGGGCTGGAGGGAAGAGCAGGTGTCTAAGGGGCAGCATCAGCAGCAGCACCTTTGCCTTTAACTCGGCTGTGGCTCCGCCTGTGGCTGTGGCTGTGGCTCCAGCTCCAGTTTCTCTGCTATTAGTTTTCGCCACATCTTGTTCCGCTTCCCATTCCCGTTCCCATTCCCAGCTGTTGTTGCTTTTGCTGTTGGTTTTGTTGTTTAAGTGCAACATGAATTGTGAATACCAAGGAGCCGTCCACATCCCGAACTTTCCCTGCTTGCTGCTCATCTGCATGCAGCTGCCACCAAGAAGGCCTGCTTCTACTCTCTCCCTTCCTCCCTCTCTGTTTCTCCTTCTGTTGTTTTTGTAGCTGTCGTTAGTGCTGGCCACAGAACTAATACACTGACAATGTTCTTCCACCTGTGTAGGCAGGTGTGTTCCAGTGTGTGCCCTGGCATGTGTGTGTGCGTTTTAGTTGACTATGTATCCAAATGTTTGTTAGTCTTGTTTGGCCCGTACTAAGATATATGGCAGCTGCCAAAAGATGCAAAACATGACTTTTCTATATGCCAGAAGGCAGCACCATGTCCCGCTGTGCGCTTGCCTGGCTGGAAGCCACATACCTAAAAATATATGCATCTACAGAGAGAAGAGAGGGAGAGAGAGAGTGAGAGAGAAAGAGAGAGAGAGAGAGAGAGAGACAGGAACAGGAAGTCTGTTCGCAATGGCTATGACAGCTTATGCTATCGTTATTATGTATTTAGCAGAATGGCACTTATTATGATATTGAACAGGCGCCATGCCAGGAAATTGCAATTCTCCATAAAAATCAACAGCAATCCATTGTGGAAGAGAATGAAAGGAAACATTTGTTGAACATCAGAGAAGAAACGAGTTGGGAGGATCTACATAGGAGATTGTCTTTTAATAAAAGAAAAGTCGCCATGCCAGGAAATTGCGGTTCTCCAAAAACTATAAGGAAACATTTGCTGCACAGCAGGGAAGAAATGGGAAGGGGGGAACTAAGATTGGATAGTGTCTTTTAATAAAGGAAGGGCTACACGGAAAAATCTTCCTGTCTGAGGAAAAGTGAACGACATAATAAGTAAGGCTCATTTGAACGAGCGCTAACAGAATGTCTCTAAGAAGCTGTTGGGGAAACATTGAATCCAGTTATGACAATTAAAGGTTCTCCGAGTAGGTTCGTTGCGCCCGACAATCGAATAGTACTTCTTTGCTTTGACAATTTGGTTTCTCTCGTACTGATGCGTTGGGTCAAGCGTCTGTGCTCACAGCGAAGTTTCTCAACTGCGGCCCGCTTCAGTTGCAAGAACTCCACAGTCTTGTCGTAGTCGTCCAATAGGCTGGGATAGTGCATCAGAGAGCCAGAGGTACGGATTTTGTGCAGCTCCCTGAGAAATCGGTTGTGCTTCAGCTTACTCTGGTAGATGAGTTCGCGATAGTGGCGCCTCGATCGCTTGCATTCCTCCAGCTTCTGCTTCATTTCCAGGTAAACTTTACGGTACATGTGCTCCTTGCACTTGACATGCGCTAGCGCATGCACATCAAAATTGATTTTCCCAAGCAGCCGATTTAGCTCAGCATCGCGTTCTGCAGGTCATTTTTTGTAGGGGCTAAATTGGGAAAAGCTTTCAGACATACCTGCGATTTTGGTGCCCAGCACAAGGACATCGGACTGCTTGGAGAGATACTCTTGCATCTTGAGTCCATCGCCCAGATCCTCCAAGACCTCGGATTTCTATCGATGAGTACACGTTAATGAGAGCTGAACTCTGCCCCTCTTACCGGCTACAAGAACAATCCTACCAGCTGCATTTCGGCAAGGCGATGCTGGTTGTAAAGCAGCTCCAGTCGCAGCTCGGATAACTCATCCCGGAAGCTGCTCATGTTACTTAGGATTTCGTTAACGACGCCTGCCAAATGATTAGATCTGTCGTTGAGGAGAGTCGTTCGCACAAATTGTTCAAAATCCTGGACCTTTCGATCGCTGTAAATACGCGCGCTCTCAAGTTCCTCTGTCAACTTGATCGACTGCATTTGGGCCAGATCAAATGTTTGATTATGAACCTCGAGCAGTCGGTCAAGCTCGACAAGTGAGCTCTTTAGGCGCTGGTAATTGAGGGCATCGAATGTCTTGGGTATTTTCAAAAATACGAATTGTTTCTTGCGCGCAAAATGATCGGTGACCCGCTGCTCCATCGTGGTCTTGAACAATTGCTCTTCGCTAAATTGTTTCATCAACGGGATGAGCTCTCTGATCAGCTTATCCTTATCAAGCACGCGCCGCAGATGCACATCTTCCTGATCGGAGTAGGCTACAACTCGTTGTATTATCTCATCCAGGAAATATTCGCATGCCTCCAAGGCTGCCCGTCGCTGATTTTCAAGATTTTCATTATAGAAATCGACCATATTTATATGACTATTGCGAATGATAATTGAATTAAGGGTTCTAGCGACATCCACCTCTTCATCTATTGCACGCACTTTATTCGCACTGACAGGAAACCTATCAACGCTGTCACTTAAACTATCAAGATTCAGGAGCGAGTGGCTGTCGAAGGAAACGAACTCGGAGCTGGATTCCTCGTCGACTTTTTCTACAGCAGATGCTGTTTCTTGGTGTTTGAGGCTAGGCTCAGGGCTTTTCAAGGAGGAACTTTCACTACCGCCATCCCAAGTGGGGGGCACAAAATGTCCGTCATAGTCGGACCGTTTATGCCCGAATAACGAGCAATAACTTCCCTCTGATAGGTGTTCAATATCTGGAATTTCATTCAGCAGTGCAAGCATGCTATTCCGCTTGTGGATCATATCCACTTCATCCTGCGTATCTCGACTAACTGACAAATTGAGCGTGCCCGACAGCTCTGACAATGAACCCTCATCCGAATGAAGTATATTTTCAGTTGGTTTCTTTTTCAATTTGCCTAACGATTTCTTCGATTCTGATCTCCTCGATTCTGGTCTCTTTTTGGCCTTCCTCAGCGAACTCCGAATTAGATTTGGGTTCGAATCCTTGGAAGTTACAGGTTTTGAGTCCCGCATTATTGAACGGGCTCGCGGCGTACGTGGGCCCAGGCTGCCCCTGGAGGATCGGCGACTCGTAGACCGAGCCGATTGAGAACTGGGGACTGATAAAATGCTCACATCACTAATATTTCCACTTTTCAACAACGTGGGAATAGGCGAATTAGCCTGGGAAGTCCTGTGTGTGACGACCTTAGAGCCTTTTACTTTTTTCTTTTCCTTTGACTTGATGGAGGCACCACTCTGTTTACTGGTATTCGAACCTGTACCGATGACATTCAATTTAAATTGACGGGTAGACTTAATAGAGCCCGACTGAACGTTTGAGTTGAGAGATGCATCTGTGGACCTGGCGGGCCTATCCTTCTTCTTTCTCTCCGTCTTCAAGGCAGCCTTGGTGTTAACTGGCTCTTGGCCGTCTAAAGCTGTTTCCTGGTGTTCCTCGGTATTTGTTAGGCTCGCGTTTGTACTCAAAGAGTCTGATCTATAAGCATCAGCTAGATTGTCCAAGTTGTCCAAGTGATCCAGGTGATCCAAATGATCTTTATCTCGCAAAGCTTCATCTTGAATCGAAGACTGCTCGGCCAGATCCAACATTGGATCCCGCAAGGGTTCGCCAACATATTGAATCAAAGGTTCCTCTGCTTGATCATTTAATTTCTCGATTGGCTCATCTAAAGCTTCCTCCACTGGCTCATCATTCTGAATAATCTCTTTTAGCTCCAAAGGTTCCTCCACTGTGGGCACAATATCTTCCGTGCTGTCCTCAGCTGCATCCATTTCGCCACTCATGCTTCAGTCTGTTTGAAAGTCTTCAATATTTGCAGCAACAAAAAAAAAAGCGAACAAAAAACTTAACAAAAAATAAACTTCTCAGCAGGCAACAAAAATATGTTTTGTGGAATATTCAAAGAATTAAAACTGAACTTTAAATGTTTCGCACAAAAGTATCTAGGTTTTCGGTTTTTAGGCTTTTTATTTGAAGATCAGCTCTTTGAGTACCATGCAAGCATGTCAGATTATCGAAATGCCGTCAACAAGAAGTTTTCACTTTGGCCCAAGCGGAGCCCGAAACGAAACCAGTCAACCCACTAACAACTTTTTGTGGTACTACACACACAATTACCGCAACGAAAACGAGACCCAGCCCCAGCCCAAATAATGTCCAAGGGCCACAAGGAGACACCTTCCCTCTAACTTGACTTGGCTGTACCTGGCTGGGGCCACCCAACCCGTCGCTCCCAGCACGTTTTTGGCTGGCCTGTTGTTGGTTAATATCATCACTCATGTATGCCGCATACTAAAGAGAATTTATCATGTCTGCTGCGGCAGCTGTAAAAAAAAAGCGAATAGGACCGAAGGCAGCAGCAGCTCTCGAACGGTCTTCGCTCAAGTGTTTCGCCAGCCCAGCTACTATACAGATAAATCTATCCATATATATATACAGATATATTTATATACAGGTGTATTTATATGTGTAGTAGCTGTGTGTGTCTGTGTGCCTGTGGCTTTGGCTCTGGAGTTTCAGCTCACCTGCTGCTGCTGCATGCTCGCAAATTCGTTTACGTTCACGTTGCCCCCATCTGCTAAGTAGATTTCGGGCTACCTGCATCAGCTCGTTACAGCTGCAGCGCCGAGGGAATATACCTCTCTCTTTCTTTTCCTATTTTTTTTTCTGCATGCATATATATATTTTTTTGTCGTTCTGCTTTTGGCTGGTGAGCGGATTTTGGCAAATTGCCTAAAACTTTCTTTATATTTGATGTAATGAATTCCTGACGTGCTGTCGTCGAGAAATGTTTTCACTAATGCAGAGTGTGCAGCCCCCCTTTTACAACTCCACCTCCCTTACCCGCCATGCCAAATGTATCTATAGATACAACACCTGCATTGCCAGCGACAAAGAACGACTGCAACGCAAAGCAACAGCCACACATTGCGTATGCGTAATGTGTAACAGATATGCCCCGCTCACTCTTTCTGCTCGCTAGCCACACGATTGTGTGTGTGTGTGTGTGTGCGACTGTGTGTGAGTGCGTGTGTGAGTTCCGTTTCCGCAATTAAAATGTTGATTACATGAAGTACGACTACCGCTTGTTTGTTTGCCGCTGCTGCTGTGGGCGCTACAAAGGAAAACGGAAATTATGTGTATGCGGGCGCTAGCTGAGCTTAGTCAAGCTGCGGCACCAAGACCAAAACCAACATTCTGAACACTCTGAACAATGGTAACAACAACAACTGGTGCATAAATTTTAACCATTCGCGCTCGTCTGATAAGATATGCCAGCTCCGCTTTTGTGTCGTCAGAGCCCCAAAACGCGCACTGGGCTGCAATTAGGCGACCAAATGCGACAAAGCGATAAACATATTGCCAAGAAAACACTCTCGCTAAATTAAACAAAAACAGCAGCTTAACAAAAATGTTGGGATAGTAAATCATTCCAAAATCAAACAATATTTGACCGAAAAAACCGTCAAATAAGTTTGACATCGTGACCAATCCGACAACATTTCTTCCGATAGTTCATTTTTTTAATGCCAATCGATATAATTCCGTAGCAATTTAAAAAATTATTAAAATATCGAACATTATTCGCCCGAGATATTCCATAAAAATCGTCAAGATGATTGACATTATTGGAGAATTGATTTAATTGATAGCAGGGAGCCGTACGTATTTTCAAGGGTATAACATTTCAGAAACAAACGATATTTACCGGAGATTTTAAGTACGATACCAAAGAGTTGTATCATTCCATAATCGGACTGAGGTAATCATCAAACAAGTGTGACATTATGCCAATCCATTTTTAATAACAATTCTTAAAATCAATTTTACCTCAAATGTATCAACATAAAATGATGTAGAATTTTTATGGGTACATAAGTATTCATGTTTTTTTAAGAAATACTTAAAATAAATTTACCTCAAAATGTATCGAAATAAATTGATGTAGCATTTGTTTGCGTAATTAAATATGCATATAGTCATAAGCAAATGAGGTCCTCTCGAGGTACTATTATTAAAAAACAAACAACAATCGTTTGAAGCAACTTTCAGTAGCTTTCGCAGACTATTTACAAGACCAAAAGCTGGCAAGGCCAAAGGTCAAGGGCGGCGCAACAGTCTCCAGCATAAAGCCGCGCGGGCTGCGTCTGTTGTTAGACAAATCGCGTTGCACGGTAATTAAATCAATCATACGCCGCGTATTGGCAGCAGCAGCAATTGCCGTGGCAAGCAATCCGAAGAAGCTGAAGAAGCCGCGAAAAGTGGCAACAACAAGTTGGCTAAGACCACGCCGACGCAGACACCTGCAAAAACTCACGCGTCGGCGCTTAGCATAAATGAATATTTATAATTCTGTGTCTTGCCATTGCCCCAGTCCCTGGCACATGCCACGGCGTCGACAGAGCCGCAAAGTGCTTTTAAGAGTGCGCAAATATTTTTTTATGAATATTTATTTGCGTTTGAAATCGAAGTTATGCATTTGCTGTTGCCGCCGCTGCCTCTTCAACTGGGCCCCACCCACTTTGTTGTTGCCGAGCTCGTCAAAGTTTTGCCCTTTGCGAGCTGCGCGAAAGGTGCGTAAGACAATTTAATTTATTTGACGCATTAAAGCAAAAATATTAACGCTATAAATCAATAAAAATCATGCCGCGAAAAGTCCGAGAAGTTTCTTTTCTTTGCGAAATATTTTATTTTTATTTAAGTATGCTTTTGAGCATCCCAGCAACAGCTTCTATTAATTTATGTGCCATTTGGAGAGCCTTGCCCCAATCCCGGACCCATTCACAACTGCCCTTTGTACGGGCCGCGAAGCATTTTTATGACAGCTGCAAAGTTATGACTGTCAAAGTTGCTTTATGTTATGGGTCTTATGGGTATTGCACCTAATATACGTATACCTGATGCTAAATTCACGATTCAGCATGACAACTGTATGCCCCGATCTACTGCTGGCTAGGCATAATATTAAAGAGGAAAGCGTAAGAAATCGGAGCTACTTGCAATTCGAATACCTTTCCTTATACCCTGAACCCATTCAAATGGGCAAAAAAGGGTGTAATGTACTTGTGCAAGTGTATGTGACAGGCAGAAGGAATCATCATTGACCCCATAAAGTATATATATTCTTGAGTTATAGTCAGAATAATATAGAATAATATACTTAGAATAATATATATATATCAAGCAATCTTTCATTTTATAGCTAACGCCTTCTCCAGGGTATTCCCTATTCGGCAGTTTCGGACTAGAATTTCTTGCTTACAATAATTTAATAAATATTTCAAATTTACTTATTCGTGACATTTGATAACACTGTCTTATTATTTCCAGTTCAAACCAGCCTCTGTACACTCCCCCCTTAAGCTCTTTGCCTTGCAAATAGTCACTTATTGGCCAAGTATGCAAAGGACCTGCACTTGAAGAGTCCCACAGTAAAAATGAAGTTAAATGCCATTGACCCAAAGATGTTGTTGCTGCTGCAGCCAGGATGTTTTGGTATCCCTAGCAGCCATGGTCAGGACTTTCTTGTTCCCCCATTTTCCTGCCAAATTTACATATGTATGACTAAAGAACTCTGTGTGAATGTCCTTTGACTCCCGGCAGCACCTTTGTGAGAGCTTCAAGGGCTGCAGCTGCATGCTTAAATTTGCAATAATAAGCTCCACAAGTTCATTTGAAGCAGAGTTTTACAAAATTAATGCGCAGCACAGCACATTAAACTATCTTTTTTGTACAAAAAATTGGATAAAATTAAATTATTACTGCAGAAATTACAAGCAAATTTAATTATTGCATTCGCCTTATGTATGTTATTTCGTTTCCGCAGTTTACAATGCCAGCTTTGCTCTATTCGGTTCCCGAGCCTATTTGTGTGCATCCAATAGATAAAGTCATATATCATGCATTATATATACTTATATTTAAAGCCCACAACGAATGCGGGTACGCATGGTTATTGTTGCTGCGACAGTTGGCTTTTCGGTTTGTTGGTTCATTAAATATAGTGATAATTTTTCATATTTATTTACATGTGGTTTTTCCACTGACAGAAAGAATTTACATATCATTTCATTAAATTTGCCATTGTTTTATTCTTTGCATTTCACGCATTTAATAGCTATTAATTGTGCGATTCGTAGAGAAAAACAGAAAGTGTGAGTCACATATTTAGGAGCGTCTCACATAGAAATTCTAACTTTCACCCGCTGGCAGCTGCTCAACGGTGCGTATGATTGATGTGACGCCCACAACAATTGCCAGTTACTTCCCGGGGGAAGGAACCGTCAGAAGAATGTTAAGGACTATTTGCTAAACATATTTAAAATTAAATACAGATAACTGTGCCAAAGAAATAATATAATTCTATGAATCAGCGGCATACTTCCGATTCTTAAAATCTTAAACTATATTCTTGCATATAAAGTTAATATAAATTATAATTGCATTCCATAAGAAACCATGAACTTTAAAAACAAATTTCAATTGCAATTGCGCCAAAGAAAAACCCCTTATTTTAACAGCAGCTGCAAAAAGCTTTCTGTTAACCAATGAGCGGAACGCTGTGGCAATGAAACAACTGCATTTGTGAGCGAGAGAGCCCTCTCTTGAGTGGAGCACCCACGCTCTCTGTGGCTGAGTCTTTAAAGCGCGCTCACGCATGCGCATTGGGGGTTGTCGCAGGCGTAGTTCAGACGTTGGCCACTGGATGGCGCGCCAGAAGCTTGAACAAGAAGTTGAAATTTTTTTTAGTTATGATTTGCACTTCAGACCGAACGCACGTCGTTTTGATCGCGCGCGCCTCTGGCTCTCAAACTGAACCAGAACCAAAGACCGAAACCGAAACCGAAACCGAAACCAAAAACCCAACGACTGACAAGTCACACGCGCACACACACACATACACAACCACACACACACTCATACACCCATGCACACGCACACATGCATTTGGATGGACAAGTGTCGTGTGCGGGCACTAAAAGTTATTTCGTGTTAGTTTTGCTTGTTCCATAAAAATAAAAAATTACAGAAAAAAATTGAAGCATTAAATAAAATAAAAGAAAACAGAATACAAAGTGCAAGTTTTTAGTGTGCTTGAATAAATTGTAAAACACAAATTTAAAATATATAAAAAAAAAAACGAATATAAATAGCTGCAATTTGCGTGCAGCATTTGTTGGTGTTGTTGTTGTTGTTGCTGTTGGTGTTGCTTAGTTAGGAACTTGGGAACTGCTGCGGTTGCGGTTAATTAAAATTGAAAAAAAAACTGATATTGTGAACAGCCAAAACAATTAAACGAATTATTTCTTTGTTCTATATATTTTAGTTTGTTGTTCATTAAAATTACAATAGAGTCAAATATTGTAATTTTAATTATTTACATGCTTAGCCCGCACAGTTTTTCCGCCACTCGCCAATTTAACTTAATTATGTTAACCGTTGGTTCCCGCAGATTCCCGCCTATTCCTAGGCATGGTTTGAGTCTTGGCTGCCGCAGTCGCTGCCTCTGCTCTGCCGCTGCTTCGTCTCTGTCGCGCGCATAAACATGCCGCTGCATATTTTTAGGCGCGCGCTGGAAACAATGACGCCGCGTTTTTTATAATAACGGTACTTGTCTGCCGCCTGGCTTTGTTGATGTTGTTGTTGTTATTATTATTTGTTATTGTTGTCGCTGCCGCTTTATTATCTCTGCTCGACTTGTCGCTTCGCCATTTTTGTTGCCGTCGCTGTCGCTGCTTTCGGTCATTGTTGTGCAAACAACAAACTGACAACGACAACAACAACAACAAGAACAACAACAACAACAATAACATTTTCAACATTGTTTTCGAGTGTGTGCAAAAAGTGTGTATAAAATTTGTCAAGATTTATTTTTATATGTGTTGATGTCATTAAACACTCGCATTGGCTTTTGTTTATATTTGTTTGTTTTTAACGATCGAAAAAATAAATATGCCAGCCTGATTGAACATCTAAACAGGACTTCTATTGTTATAACAAACATGTTATATTTATATATATTTTTTGTGTAACTTGAATATTATGTTTTTTTTTTTTTTTTGTTGGGAGCATAAAATAAAATTTATTTAATATAAAATATAAAAGAAGAAATATGTTTTTGTACTCAAGACACAATAGTTTGTAAAAGCTATATAGATAGTTGCAATTGTTGATATATGAGATTGAGAAGAAATAACTTTCGATACATAGATATATGCATAGTGAAAATAGAATATATAAAAGAATAGTCTTAGTTACTTCCATTTCGTAATCTTATAACATTTTTAATTAAAGCTATGTAGAAAGATATGTGAGTAGAAAATTATAATAATGATAATAATAATAAATAAGACTATTCTTCTATTCTTTCTAATTTTTCTCTTCTTATTATTATTAAAAGCTTATTTGTTGGCTTATTTAAAATTTAATAAGCTTTACCCAATGCAATCTAAATTTTTTATTATGTTGGATGAACCCACCTTCCCACATGCCCCACTGAACTTTCTCCTATGTCCCCCACCAGCTCTAGTAAATTCCCATTCTTTGACTATCTGATTCGACTTTTTGCTCTAATCAGTCTTTAAATTATTTATTATGTTTTTATAAGTTTACATATATTTTTGTCAAACAATTATTGTAAATAGTTTTAAATTAAAGACATTAAAGTGGCGTGCAAGCGTACCAAAAGTTAAAAATAAATAACAATAATGTTTAAGTAGGCTGCGTTGACTATTTATAGAGGACGGAGGAGGAGGGGCAGACATTTGCCGCTAATCAAGTTTGATGGCCATTCGAGCAACTGCATCGTGGCCCATGTGGGTCAGCGGAGCGTGTGGCATTATTATTATAGCGAAAGGGGCATTGACTGCGACAACGACGACAACTTGGCCCAAAACAAGCACTCTCAATTGGCTTGTTGTAAGCGTTGCCTGTTGGCCGTAAATCAAATGCTGGGCACAACAATCGAGGGGGGTTACTTTGAATTTATGTTGCATGCGCCTCAATAGTCTCCAGCTCTCCGACTCCGGCTCCGGCTCCGGGCCCGCTGCCTGTGCCCCGACTGCCGTAATTAATCTTTGGCCAAAATGCTACAAAATTTATGTCTTTAACTTGGCGCGTTTTGTGTCTGCATTTTGGGCGCCCGCTTAATAGTTTCGCTCGTTTGCCCCTTTTCTTTTCTTTACGGTTTTTTGTTTTTCGCGCGCCCGATTAAAAGTGATTAATTGCCCGGCAGTAAAAACAAGAAGAGCAAGAACAACAACAATAACAACCGACGCAACTTAATGTCTAAATTAAATAAGTGAATTCTCGCAACACACAGAAATTAATAAACACATCGCCGTGTTTGTGTGCGTGGGCGAGCCTTGCTGCCCCTTGACGCATAAATAAACACACACCCAACTACAAATACAAATACATCGAGGCGAATTGGCCCAAGGGAACAGAGAACAGACTCCCGCAAGTGAAAGTGTTTTAACGGCCAGAATGTGTTCGCTGGAGCCCTACACCCACAGTCACAGTCAGAGTCACAGGCTGAGTCACAGGCACAATCACGGACACAGACCGCACCACCGACAACAACACCAGCAACAGGAGCAGCAGAAGCAACTGGAGCAACAGGATCACAGCCACCGGCAGCAGCATCAGGCAGGCCAAGATGTTGGCCTGGCCAAAAGGACAACAACTGCGGCAGCAAGAACAACAAGGCATCTGCAGCTTTGGCATATTCTACATGTGATATTAGTGCTAATCGGTAAGTGCGTCTTCTATTTTTAATTTTATTATTTCAAACGGCTTGCAATTAATTCTGCACCAACCCAAACAGACCGCAGCCCAAAATTGCGTTTAAATGTTGGCAAAAGTTGGCAAATAGTTGCGCAAATTGAGATTAAAATGTTTGCTCATTTATGTAAAGTGGGTGTGTGCATGTGTGTGTATGTACATTTGTGTCTGTGTTTGTTTAGGGTATTGCACAAATGCATGCTAAGCCTGATATGGATTGCTATCAATCCATATCGCAAGCATCAAGTCAATCACTATGAACATAGCTCAGTTAAGGTTATTCGGATAAGCAAATTGTGGAGTCGAGATTTCAAATAATCAAACCAAATCACATTTTGGCAAGAGCTCTAGTTGTGTGCAAAGGTTTCAGTCATTGATGCACGTGAAATGAAAGCGAAGGCTTGAAACTATGGCTTATGTATGAATATTGTCTTAGCCTTAAGAGCTAAGAGCTTCATTTTATGTTTACTTATTTATACTATAAATATAAAAAATAATTCCATGACTTTAACTAGTTGAGAATCATAAGAAAAGCTGGCTAGAGCTTAGCTAGAATTGTTCACAATATAGGTAAAAGTTAGATTTTCTATTTTTCAATACTATAAAGGCATTTCTTTGATTTATTAACATCGGAAAGCTATTTTGTGTTTCAGAAGTTTCTAATAGCTGCATTATAAGTTGAATAAAAAAAAAATTCAACAAAATGCAGTTTATTCAATTGTATATTACGTTTCTTAATAGGAAATTCGAAAGCAAGTCAAAAAGAGGATTATCAAGAAAATAATTTTCATTTAAATAAATGGAAAATGCAACCGTGATTATTAATAATGATTGTAATAGCATTTATGCAGAGCTTATGCAAACCCAAGAAGCAACGTTAGAAATAAATGTACTTAAGATAAAAATTACAAATGAAAAGGCAAAACACCTACAACAAATAAATGCACATAATGAAGCTCTAAAATACTTCAAAGTACTCGGCATAATTAAGAGCTTCCTTTTTGGGGAAATGCTTTGAAATGTTAATCCTTATTCAGGCATTCAGACGAGTTCTTAGCGGAAGCCCTGAAATGATACAAAGCCTCAATTAAAATTAAAATTTCGGCCAGAAAAATGTTGATATGTTGGGAAACTGACAGAGCAGAAATTGACAAGGACGTGCTCTAGCCTAACCGCCTGCCGCGTTCTACAGAAAACGAAAAATCATCTTTAAAAGGCAATAAAAAACAATCAACAAATTGAAAGCAAAGTTCAAAATAATCGAACAGCGGCAACTGGTACTTAAGTAATTTTCTGGCTAAGGAAAAGCAAACAACAAAACAAATTACGATACGCACGCTGCATAGAAATTAATAAATTGCCTGAAGATGGACGATTCTCCAACTCAACTTGTTTCGTGGTGGAGAGCTGAAGAGTGTGAGGGGGAGGAGGGTGAACAGAGCATTCTGTGAGCTTAACTTTGTTGCTGTTATTCTGTCACTGGCAAAGCGCAAAAAAGTTAAGTTGACATTTCCGCACACAGACACACAGCGAGAGGAAATACAAGTCACGATGTTTGCTGGCGAGGTGTGCGGGGAGCTGTTGAGTACAGGGCGAAGGGGAAAGCATTAAAGCCATTGAAGAGCGTTCGCTTTCATTATTTTTAAATCATATCACAAGGCAGAGACACAGAGAGAGAGAGAGAGGGGAGGTAGACAGAACGGAAACGGATATGAAACCAAGTGATGTTTGTCAGGCAGCACCAATGTGTGTGTGTGTGTGTGTGTGTGGGTGCTTTGTGTGTGTGTGGGCTTAATTCAACGTCTCATTTGCATACATTAAAATGTCACATTTTACATGCCGTTTGTGCGTCGCTCGCCCTAAGCCAAAACGGTTGCCCGTCAGTTAACGTTAAGGAGCCTCCGCCTGTTACACATAAACTACATTAGCAATTGCCAGTCACAGCCGGGCCCCCATCCCAGCCCGGCCAGAAGCCAGGAGCCAGGCGCCCAGGCGGCCCACCCACCGAAGCAGTCAGGCAGGCAGTCAGCCTCGGCGGCGTTGTGGCCATGTAAAAATGGCTTAACGCGAAAATCTTTCAACTAAACATTAATCCTAATGGTTTTCAATTTTTTCCATTCTTCTTATTTGTTGCGGCTGCTGCTGTGGCAAGTCAACTTGGCAAAAAACCCCGCACCACAAGCCGTGCTACAATTCCTGTTTTGCATGTAAATACGCTCTTTGATATTGCGACGCTTTTCGCCCGCAGCCTGATTGCCTCCGACACAGCGGCCCCTCCCTCCCAGTCCAATCCCCTGCAAATTGACTCAAATATGAATTTTAGCGAAATGCGCAAAGCCCAACACATATAACTGCGGCCCACTCTTCCATTAGGCAGCCTCATTAATCAGAGCAGCAGGAGAAAAAAATCACCTGCTGCCCTTGACTTAGTTAGTTAGCCAGCTGCTCATCTATGCGCCCCGGTGGGCTAATTTCAACTGACATGCCAGCCAGTTCGGCTTTTTTCAATATTATAAACCCAAGCGCATGCTCAAAAAATAAAAACATTTACAGGGAAACCTGTTTTAAGCTAATTCATGGATTATTTTTAAATATTTATCAATTTTTCAATTAAAATTACGTGATAAAATTTATTATTACGTATATATTCTGTTCGGTCTAATCATAGTTTATTCATGCATTTTTTAATAAATATTAGCTCAAAGGTTTGGTAAATACGTCAAGCTTATTCGAATATTTAGCTAAGCAACTATATTTTTATCCTCACCCTGGCATAACAGCATGTATCTTTTATTTATTTTAATTTGTTGCAAGCACAATCGGACTCTCCATAATGTATGTATTTAAAGTTTAAATATTTACATTAACGCATTTTAAATTAACAGAAGTGCTAGTCAAAATATATACACTGCAAAAAAGGCTTTCAATCAGCTTTATTTATAAACATTTTTTATTTACACCTATCGAATAAATAGTCAGGCATGGAATATTTATAAGTAATATACATCTACGCATAAGCCGTATGCACGAACAAGTACGCAAACTCTTTTTTTATTTACCAGAAACACACCTATGTCGGCCTTTTGGGGCCCTTTAGGGTATATAGAGAGACGCTGTAAAGTATGCTACAGTTCGCACACTATCGCATTAAATTGTTGTGCGAGCTGAGCAAAGCTCAAGTGGGCTTTTGTTTTGTTTAAATAAAACTGTGTCGCCACAATGGCAAAGCAAGTGTTTTTGTTTTGATTATCCACGCCCAGAGCACACACACGCACACACTTGTACAGAGCCACAATAGATGATGATAGCTGTCTGATTGCGAGATATGAGCACACACACACACAAATATATATTTATATGCTTCCTGGTATCTGTGTGACACACATAAAAAAACATTCTGAGCCACTAAGCTATTGTTGAAGTTTATCTTTGCATTGCCAAATGATGGCAGCTCGGGCTTTTGTTATTTATTTTACGACTCGCTGTTGTTGCTTCTGTTTCCGCTTTGCAATTGACATTGACGTTAGCAGCAGGTAGCTTAAAATCAAATAAATTTTCACAATCGCAATGCAATCATATTAAATGATGCTTTTAGTTACAATTTTCTAGCTGATCTGGAATCAGCTGAATAAATCAAATTGTTTTGTAGTTTAACTTTGGGCAATTATAGGTTCAGATTTAATTGAACATATTTATTGAAAATAAAAGCATACAAAGATTTGCTGAATGCTCCTAAAAGACTTTGTATAATTAACGGTATGAACCTTTAGATAAATATTTAAAAGAAATATCAATATATATATATATATCCTACCCTCGCAGAATTATATCATATTTTTGGTAAATTGATATGCGCCCTGCTATAAATTGTAACATTTCAATTAAAAATGAACGTTATAGCTAAAAGCTACAATACACAAAAAAAAATATATAAAAAATAAGGAATCCAACCTGAAACGCAATGCGCCAAGACAAAAAGTTGGTAGGCAGATCGGGGTCCGGCGGCCGGACAACGCCCAAAAGCATGCTAAGCAAATTGAAACAAAATGAAACAGCTTTGTGTGCGTGGGTGTACGGGGGTGTGCGTGTGCTGACTTTTTTCGATTTGTATTGAAATCATTAGAGCGCAGCCAAACAAAAAAAAATATATATAAATAAGGAAAGAAGAGAAAGTTGGAGACGAAGTCGAATAATTTGGCTAACAAAAAGGGGCCAGCTGGCTAGAGGGTTTGGGGGCCTGAATGTCTGACGAGCAAACAAACGAGCGACTGACGCCTATTAATCATGCAGACTTTACGTACCATTAAGCACGAATATTTCAACAGGCCGAAAGGCGTTTCGACTTTCTGGTATATCATTGCGGCATGATATGAGAGTTCCCACGGCCCGAACCAGCCCCTCTGACATGAGGAACCCAAACGAACCTGTGGTCAGTAATGAGTTGGGCGACTAGAGTCTACCCTGTACTGGCTCCCCTTGCCTGGCGGCTGTAGAAAGGTTCAAAGTGTAAGCAATAGCAGCCAAGAAGAAGAGCAAAAAGAGCAGCACCCAAAAAACTGAGCCCGAGCTCAAAAACCCAGCGAACACAAACAAAGTAACTGGCCGCATTTTTGACCATTTGGCAGCCTAATGGCAAAAATATTGTATTACAACAATTTGTGCAGCTAACCCGAACTCACTTCCCAAAAAAAAAAAAAAAAAAAAAAAAAACAGAAGAAATAGGGGAAAGAGAAAAAATGAAAAAATTCAAACTCAAACATATATATATAAAATGGCAAAAGGGAACAAGCCAAGGGTCGCTAACGATATGGTAAATTTATCAAAAATACAAGGCCCACAACAACATGACACCAGGCAACAGTCAACAGTCAACAGTCAGAAGTCAGTTAAGAGGCAGGCATAAAATAATCAGCACTCGGCACCAGAAATGGTCCAGAAAAGGCAAATGTTAAGGCTAAAAGGCTTTTCAGG